GTCTGTCTGTCTGTCTGTCTCTCTGTCTGTCTGTCTGCCGTCTTTTATTTATTTTTTTTTTTGATGTGATATTCTGAGATATTATCAATAATAGTTCACTTACCCGCAGAAGAAAATTTTAATAACAAGAGTTATTTTTAATAAAAGGGGCTTTTAGTGAGTTTTGTGGAAAGTAAATAAATCCTCATTAAAGTGAAATCTAACAAGATACTCAGACTGTATCATTCTGTAACAAAGCTGACTTTGCAGATCAGCCTCTTATGAGTCTGACAGCACGACTACAGAAACCTTGTTAGCCTCCGCCACTCTGAGGACTGATTACATTTTTAACAAACTACGATGTGACATCTTCCTTTGACAGCTATGGAAGTTATTGGCTATAATAAGCTCCCAGAAACTCAGTTAAGAAAAATCCAAGCCACCTCATTAAGGGGGTGAATTATTTTTGATCCACTATTATTCAGCAATATAAAGATATGCTTGTTAGCTTGACAAAGTTAGTCAAAGTGGCCAAGAATTATTTATTTGCATTGCCAAGACTGTGTGTTGAGTATTGAACTTTCAACCCAAGACAGTCAGCCAGTCATTAAATGTGTTCACTTAAAGTTGTATATTTAACACTCTGCAACATGTTAAATATATCTTCTGATTCATCTGCTCCAAGCAGATTTAATGTTTTTAGACTTAAATAGATTTTATACCAGGATGCATGAATGTAAATGTATTTTAACGTAGCCAACAGTTCAACACAAAACTTGCGATACTTGTGAATAAGCTGACCTGAACATCGATGAGCAGCTAATTTGATCATTGCTTCTGCCTCGTAGGTGCAGCCGCCTTCTCTGGTGCTGTCACCCACACTCTGTCCCCGGCTCTGCTGGCCGTGGAGCTAACAGGGCAGGTCACCCACGCTGTGCCTGCCCTCCTGTCCACTCTGCTGGCCAACGCCCTGGCACGCTCCAGGAACGGCCTGTCTTTCTACGACGGCCTTTCTATCAGTAAGAAGCTCCCACACCTGCCCTCGCTGAAGAAGGCGTGTCCACAGTAAGGAGAACCAAAGGGCAAATTATTCAATATTGACAAATCTAACCATAATTACCTCAATTCTAAACTTTGAGAGCAAGTTAGAATCTGTGCTATTGGCTGAGGAGAGGCTGAGGTGGAGATTTGTTTAATTTTTTTTTATATTATTTTCAGACCTTCCTAACAGCAAATGCTTTCAAAATTGACGCTGGCAGCTTTGGTGTTTATTACTGTCTGTGAAAGGAAAGGTGCTCTGACTTTCACAGAGGTCAAACGATTTTATGATTTTATTATTGTATCTTTTAATTGATTTTATGTATTTTGTCCTTGAATGTTGTGAAAGGCACCTATAGATAAATATTATTATTATTATTATTATTATTATTATTATTATTATTATTGTTATTGTTATTATTATTATTAGTGCATGCTTGCTTTTTCTTTTTCATTTAATGACAAGATTTAGTGTCAAACTACAAAATAATTTTTTAAACAAATCTCCATTGGTTGATAATTTCTGTTAAATGAAGTAAAGATAAGTAATAATAAAATGCCATTTGTTGAGACATTACTATTGAATAAAATGTTCCCAAATTTGTACTCTCAAAGCCCCACCATGTCTCACAGCAATTAATCAATGAATAACAAATTAAGCTAAAAAAAAGTTTATTCTATAAATCAAACATAGCGTCACACATTGTTATAAACCCATTATTTTTGCAATAAATCTGCTTTGAAAAAGTACTTTTATTGATTTTAAAAAAATCCACACTCTAAATGGGTAGTTGTGTTAAATAAGCAATTTCAAAATGAAATTGGACTTTAATTTACCAGATAAGACAACAAACATTATGAAACTTTGTAGATAATTTCATTCGGTTTGTATCACTGCAGAAACCACTGAGCAATAGTTTCTTTAAAAAGCAAACTTTAGTAATAACAGAAATAAGAAATGTATTTCACAGTAAGAATTTATTTTTCACATCTTCGCTATGAACATATGAACTAATATTATTATATTATTAACAATATAAATAGACAGACAGACAGACAGACAGCTAGACAGACAGACAGACAGACAGACAGACAGACAGACAGACAGACAGACAGACAGACAGACAGACAGATAGATAGATAGATAGATAGATAGATAGATAGATAGATAGATAGATAGATAGATAGATAGATAGATACTGTACATAGGGCTCTAACCTAAAGTTTACAGAAAAAATGGAGTGCAGTTTAGTTTATTTATTTATTCCAAATATATTCACATTCACAATTCAAATACCATTGAAAAATAGTATAATTTTTTTTTATAAGTTGTTATAAAAAACTTACTCTTAAACCCTTTCCTGTATTTGTCTTATTTTTTTTACACATTATCCTTTATTTTTTTTAAAAACGAAAACATAAATATATAATATATGTTATTTGCTGGTACAGCTGAATTGTGTCAAAATCTGAATTCAGTAAAATCAATGGGTTGGAAGACATATTCTGTTTTCCTGTCACTTGTAGCATCCCTGGATGGTTTTGTCTGAGGTTTTATGTAATTTGTGTCCTTTTAGGCTTCCGTCCACACCACTGGGGCAGGTTATGGGGGTGAAATCAGTGCAGCTTCAGAAAGCAGCTGGGCCAGCAGAGGTTCAGTCTGCTGTCAGCAACAGCAGTGAAGCACAAATCCCCGTGGTGGACTCACACGGTATGCAAAGAGCTGTAGATATACACGCACTCTACTGACTCAGACCGCACCCATAGAAAGCAAAGACAGGAGAAGCGTGGTGGATTACACACACAAAATCTACAGCGTTCTTTAGAAAGTGCTGTGAAACTCACTATCACCCAGCAAGACTGCCTGAAGCAGTTCAGTGGAGTGAAAGTACAATAATTCTCAGAGAAGACAATTTTGTGAAAATGGACTTCTGAGCCTTTCAGCAGCAATCATATGGGGCAATTTTTATGTCTGGAACTTTTGACCCATCAAAATACTGATTGCCTCACTTTTACACCATCTGTGAATAAAATGTTACCTTTTTTGGTTCTGCTTTGTTTTTGTCAGAGTCGCAGGTGTTTCTGGGCTGCGTTCTGCGGTCGGAGCTGCTGCTGTTCCTGCATCGCTGTCAGACTCAGGTAAACGGGTGCAAACAAAGGCAGGGATTGGTGCAAAGCGTAGAGGAGCTGTTTAGAAAGCAGACCTTGTCTTTAAAATCCCCCTGGGTGAAAAAAAAATGGAGGATGGAAGCATGATGTACAGACAGGACTGCCGAGCGAGAGTCTGATGTAAAAACTCATTTTATTACAGCTCACATCCATCTGAAGGCAACATCTACTCACAAATAAATGCTGCTTATCAAATAATTGTGCCACAGCTTTGGTCGAGGATTAAGTTTAAGAATATATGAAAAGAGACTGTAAGTGGTCAGTTGGAACAGCTGAGACTGAATCCTGCTTCTTCATAAATTGGATGATTATTGCCTTTGTGCAGCGCATTGAGGGACGACTGGACGAGGTCTGCAGCATACGTCCAAACTCGGTTGTGGTCTCGCCTCACAACACAGTGCAGGAGGTGAGGAGATGCATAACACACTAAATCAACTTCAGACTGAGTCTGGGATTCCACCTTTTACACTACAAACACACAAAATCTTACCAAGGGTTTTTGTCTAGTTTTTAGTGCAAATATCTTAGTACACTTAAAATAAGACAAAACTGACTTAAATGTAAATTATCAGCAAGGTACAGAAGTTTATTTTAAGTCAATAATAAAAAAATATTAGTTTCACCGGGAGATTATTTCACTTTTAACATAAGCAACATATTTTGTAATGAGTGGACAAACCAGTACATTTATCAATATTAACAAATTATTGACTAAAATCAAGTTCCTAAACCTTGCTGAGAAGAGTCTTGTAAGTTAGTTTTGTCTTATTTCAACTGTGTTGAGACATTTGCCGTAGAAATAGACAAAAAAAAATACTTAGTGAGATTTTGAATTTTTTGCATTGAATTTTTGCATTTTTGCTAAACATATTACAACCCTAATTCCACTGAAGTTATGACATTGTGTAAAACTTAGATAAAACAGAATAAGTTGATTAGTAAATCCTGTTCAGTCAATATTCAATAGAATACACTCCAAAGACAGGGGCATGTTCAGCACTCAGCTACATCACTTTTTCCTGTAAAAACAACTGATAGGCGTTTGGGAGCAGAGGACTAATTTTTGAAGCTTAGTAGGTGGAATGTTTTCCCGTTCCTTCTTGGAGTATAACTTCAGTTGACAGACTATTAGGGCCATACTAGCAAAAATAAAGAAAATAGAGTCATAAAATTACAAGAATAAACTCATAATATTATGACTTTATTCTTATATTACTATATTTGCAGTGATCTTTAAATATCTCTTCTTTGTTGTGTATTCAACTGAATATAGGTTGACAAGGATTTGCAAATCATCTCATTTTACTCAATTTCCTAACTTCATTGGAATTTGGTTTGTAAATAGATAGAATTGCTGGGGAATTTTTTTTTCTTCCCATAAATATGTATACATGCACTGTTTTTGTTTCTACTAAAGAAGAGTGTTGAGTGTTGTATCATCAATCTGTGTACTCTGGGACTCATGAGTGCTTATCGGAAAGACAAATTTAGGGCAGAAACAGTCTCTATAGTGGTTTGTTTCCATAGCTCTGATCAAAAGGTATAAATCCAAACAGTTTGTGTCCAGGATGTGTATGGTCTCGTGCAAATACTGGAAGGGGGGAGGGATTGTCAGCCCAGATGATCGTCTGTACAGACCTGATTCCTTGCAGTCTGGTCCTGTCATGTTTTGTATCACATCCTGTTCACACTGGATGTGAACAGGACAGACTGAGTAACAGCTGTGTGAAAGAAGACCAGAAGTCTCTGCTAGGCGTCTTCTGAACAGTCACTACGCACCACAAAATTAGTCGATCTGATCCTTGACTGGCCCAGATTGGTGATCAGATGGTGACAAATGACCAGGATGCATTTTTAAATGACTTCTTCTGTTCGTCTTATGATTTCAAGTATTGTTCACGTTTATCAAGACAAGAAACAAAATGTGTTTGCATTTCTATTTTTAACGTTGCAGACTGGCTGGAACTGTGGGATGAGTCCACATGAACACTTACTGTACATTTGGACAACAAAATGAAAAACTCAGTGTACACAGAGCTTTTGAATAAAAGTGTGAGGTTACAGACGCAGCAGCAACAAGTGATTTATGGAGACTCTGTGCACACAGCAGAAAATTGCCATAAAGCAGCAGAAGATAGAGAAAGTACATAATGCAAGCGGCATCTCCGTGTATTCCTCAAAGCTTTTTTTGTTCGAGTGTGCAGTATAGACATTTGTCCATTCCTCCTGATAGAACTGCTCACAGTTTTTCCATTTATGCTCACATGTCTTCTGTGGAACAGAAATGGACGTTTTGTGATGACCAGAACCTCGGCTTTGTCGTCCTTATGTTATCCTTATAAATGGTAAAAATGTCTCATCATAAGTGGTAAATATTCAAATGTAGCTCGTACTTATTCATGAGTAATAAGGAATTATTAGCGTAAAACAAGCTCCTATATCCTGCTGAAGAGTTGTAAGTTAGTTACAAATATCAAGTGAACTGAGATATTTGGACTTGATAGAAGAAAAAATACTTGCCAATATTTTATTCACTGTGTGAATATTTGGCATCAGCTGTAAGTGTGTCTCCTTTCTCATATTAATACAAAACCGTTTTGACTTTAACGTGGTCTTGATTTTAGAGTTACATGAAAACGCTGTGAGTGTGGCACTCAGAGCGAGCCTTCTGAGAATCATTCTCAGAATCTGCAGGGGGGGGGTTTGCAGCATTTTGTGTTTCGGTCCAGCCAGGCAGCTGGCTTTGAGCAACAGAAACATCTTTACGCAGCAGGGCACTAAGCAGCAGATTGACAGAGCTCAGTGCAGCTTTTAGCACATGAGGCACGCATTTCCCTCTGGACTCTGAGGACCAACAGCATGACACAAAGATGAGTAATCGTTTTCAGGAGCTGGATGAAAACAACCTCATTTTAGTCTGAAATCCGGGAGGGACATGAACATCCAGTCTAATTATCAGAGGTAAAAAAAGAGAAAAATGACCGTCTGATTAGGGTCATGCTTATAAATCAGGTAAACAGGAAGATAAAATTTCTAGGATTTTTCAAGAAGCTTACAAAAACTAAACGTTAAATTTAAAATAGTTTTTAACTTGTTTTTAATTTCTCCCTGTGTTCTCCCATGCACAGGGAGAACATGCAAACTCTTTAAACCACCATAAACTTGTTGAGAAATTGTATTTCTTAACAAGAATTTATTTTGTCACATATTAGTACTAGATTTATGGGTTAGATTTTATTTCTTTGTGTGTGTGTGTGTGCGTGCATGTGCAAAATTGTGGTAAAACAATTAAAAATGTGCTACTGGAAGTACCAACAAATTTATATGCATCAGTAGATTTATTCCTTTTTCATAAGCAGAAAATGACAATGCAAACAATATATATTTTTTAAAATCTGTAGTTTCTTTTTCTTCCGTTCCAGGCCTACAACATGCTGAGCGTTGCTCCAGCTCAGACCATATTTGTGGCTGACAGAGGAAAGCTGGTGGGACAGATCACATGGTCAGAGGTACAAACTGAAATATGTGGATTTTTACTGTTCCCTACAAATACTCTGACCTCTGACACGTTTATCATCAGGGAGCAAGTAGCTGGTCAAAGTTTTGCAACTCTCTCTCTCTCTCTTTTTTCAGATGAAACAAATTTTGGTAGGCTTGGCCAAGGACATCTAAGCAGCGTCAACATGGGATCGGCACTTCCTGTCATCAAATTTAACCTGACATGAATAGCATCTCTCTCTGATTAGCACGCGACAAAGCCTACATCCGATAATGCTATCACTCCTTCATTCCCCAAGTGTAACAATGTTTGCACATCAACAAAACTGTAATTAACTGTCGACTCCGATGGAAAATATTCATTAAAGCTCTTTTTTGCCTTTAATTGTAATCAGCGGTCCAGACAAGCGAGAGCGCACATCATTCACTGATCTGTACTTTTTGACATGGTAATGAGATAAATACTACTAATATTCAGCAGATGTGAACACAAAGGCTGTTTTAGTAGCTTATTCACCAGTTGCCACAATGAAATCTGTGCTGTTTTCTTCTTCTGATAAGCAAGTCTCACTCAGTGTTTGCTGCTGAGCTACACGTTTGTGCGATGGAGCAGTGCATCACAGAGCATTTTTTATAAAGTATATTATATATATTCTTTCTCACAATTATGCACTATTTATGTTGGTATCCTGCATAAAATCCCAATGAAATACACTGAAGGGCTTGGTTGTAACATGACAGAATGGTGTGAAAGTGCTCTGCTGTGGACTGTTCCTCTCTGTTTAAGCTGGCTTTGAGGGCACAGAGACCTCATATTACTTTAGAGATGTTTCAGTTTGTGAGGTAATTTCCTACCGTAGCGGTGTCAGACTTGCCTTCACCATTAAAAAGAAAAAATGCCAAAGACGGTTTAAAGCTTTTTCTGCAATGTTTTCCTAAAATATTTTTATGCGCATATTTCCTTTGCCTCTCTCAGTGTCATGTCTGCTTCCTAAATAACCCCAGATGTCATGTTGCAGAGGGGAAATAGACCTTCATTACTTCTGTACTTTGCTGAAGGGCTGCGATGAGTCACTGGAAACCATTTGTTAAAGTGCATCTACTGTCTGATCTCCTCAAACAGCAGGGGGGAAGCAGCCACGATGCGCAGCACAGCGTCATGTTGTACAGACATCCCTCGAAAGATTACGATGACAGGTCGCACCAACCGCTCCTTTCAACGTCCCCCTCACTTTTTCTTTCCCTCCTCTCTGTAACACGCAGGGCTGCTGACGTACGTACAGAAACACACACCAATGATGCGTGAGCGACTCCTTTACTCCCTCGCTGTATTTCCTAAACCTTGCCGTTTCTCCTCGCTGCACCTGGGGCTTTCAGATAGAAAAGTGTGAATTATAGCTAATCATGTTTCTGACTCAGATAGATAATTGGATGGAGGACATTTTTTTCACTTGAGAAGTCTTACAGGACAGATTTTTCTTTTTTTTCTGTTATTCTCACTTAGTCAAGGTCAGCTCTTTAGTCCTTCAATGTGAGGACTGAAGTCATTGTTCTCCCTCCTCCGCTATATTATCTCCTTAGTTTCATGAACACCGAAAATAATCCTACATAAGTTCCTCTGTTTCTTGTGCATCTCTCCTCTTGTCTTTTCTAAGACAGAGGAGTTCTGGTTCTGCTAGAGGTTTCTTCCTGTTAAAGGGGAATTTTCCTCTCCATTGTTGCTCAGTGTGAGGGATTGCTGTGAAGTCAATGACTCGATGCAATTTGTTGGATTTTCTTAGATACTGTAATTTTTGATAACTAGGATCGGAATCTGTGTGTGATTAAAGTGATTTTTTCTTTTTAATTTAGTTGTAGTGACATTTGTTGTGAACTGGCACTATATAAATTAACTGAATTAAACTGAATTCAGGAGGAAAAAAAATGACCAACAAAACCAGGCAGCCATATTTGTCACATATATATTAAAACCAACGCTTTATAACAACATATTTACACCGACTCTTTACAACTCTGCTCCAGTTGTTTTCTACATCGAATAAAAAACTAAAATGTCACATTTAAACTGTACATTCACATGAAGAATAGGCCTACCCTCACTCATGTAAAAAATAGCATTTATAGTCAGGCCTTTAAATCCTTCCGGTTGATGCATTTCGAAGAGTTTCGCCTCAAGAAATGTCTTACAGAACAATCATTGCTGGTGGACGAGGCTCGAGTCCTCACTGAGTCTCATGGGCGTTTCCACTGCGGTGACCAGCGTCTTTCGTTCCGCAGCCTAGTTGTAAAAAACGTCGTCCTCGGACAGAGAGCTGCTGTCGACGTGGCGGACGGCGGCTTCCGCCGTCGCCATGCTCCTGTCCTCAAAGGGACGATCAGCGACCCGCTGGGCGCCGAGTGCTGGGGGAAGCGTCGAGTTGGCCAGCGGCGGGTGAATCAGGCTGTCGCCGCCGTAAGTCTGAATGTGAATGCTGTACAGGTGCTGGGGAACGCCGACGCTTCCTCCGTCGAGCAAATACTTGGACAAGAAGTGGCCCTCTGCGGCTGAAAAACGACGGCAATGTCAGTGAGTTGCTCAAAAAGAAAGAAAGAAATTAAATAAGTTGTGAAAACAATCACAGCTGGAGCCTCTCGGGTTGCTCAAATGATTTACATTTGCAAGTAAATTGATAAGCAATTAAGAAAAACCGCTTTGAAGCGTTTCGTCGCACAGTGTGTGGCTGCAATCTCGAACGGCACTTAGAGTAAATACAAACTCAGCCCAGCCGTCAAAAAAGTTAAATTTCGTGTGGCAGTGGCTGAAATTCGTCATCATTACAGTGCGCTGGAAATGTTATTTTTTTTAGTTTTTTCACACTTCAATGTTTCAGATCAAACACATTTTAACACCAGGTAAAGATAACCTGAATAAGTACAAAGTTAAGTTTTTAAGTAATTAATAATTTTTTTAAAGGTTTTGAGTGAACTGCAGAGAAAACACGGAAGGGTGGTGAAGGTTCCCAGGAGCGGCCTGCCTAGAAAGAAATTCACCGAAAGTAGAACCCATAAAACACTCTAAGGCAGAGGTTCCCAAACTGTGGGGCGCGCCCCCTAGGGGGGGGGGGCCGTGGCATTGCCGGGGGGGCGCGGGAAGCCGTCTGGATGAAAAATAAAAAAAAACATGAACACTGTATGCGCTGGGTTTTTACCTTAGAATGGCCAACTGTTATTCCTATGTCAATTTGATACAGTAGAGGCTTCCACACTTCCCATATTTGTGTCCTCTGTCACTTTTATCAGCAGTTAAAACTGTTTAATTCGCTGTTAACATGTTGTAACCTGTTTTTCCGAGCCGCCTTTAAACGCAACATGAGCGCTACGCTGGGTTTACACCTGTGAAGGAGACCTGCTGCTGCTGGGCGGAGCTACGTAGGTTTGTGTTAGAATCACGGCAGCAAACCAGCAAAACACAAAGAACTTTTCACTTTTCACAGTTTTTCCCTCCAAACTAACCGACTGAGTTGAATAAAGCTGCTGGATGCAGGTAATGGATGACTAGCTAATATCAATACAGAACCTTAAGCTTAACAAGTACCTTATCAGCTACCGATGTTGGTGTCTATTTTCAGCTACGTACATTCATTTTGCCCCCAAAGAAGTCGATGCCCCCCGTCACACGCGTCGTTTCAACCAGACAACCATTTGTAATCCATAGGGGGGGGCGCAGAAAATGTTTGGAAACCACTGGGGGGGCGCAGAAGAAAAAGTTTGGGAACCACTGCTCTAAGATTTATTTCACACCAGATAGTCTGGTGGAGATGCAATTTTGGTCCAAAATTGCAACGTTTGTTACATTTTCAGCTGGTGTGGTCGTGAATGTTATTTATATAATCATGATTTCATTCAAACTTTAGACCCAGTTGTGCTCTTCAAGACTCTTTCACCCTCTGATCCATTTGAAAATCTTTTCACTCAAAAATCTATTAGAGAAAATGGAAGCCTTCAAATAATGAGCTTGTGATTGTAATCAGCCAAAGCCATTAGAGAAGAAATGACCTGCGATGTTCTTTTAATCTGTTGCTTCATTTGTATTCTGTGAACTTTGCAGGGTCTCCTGAAAAAAAAAAAAAAGTCTCAAGGCTTAAAAGCTGTGGTGACTCACCAACCTTGTGAGCTGGTGGACGGCTGCTCCGCGTTGTCGCTCATGGACCACATGTTCATCGCCGCCTCGGCCAGGGCGAACTGTTCCGCCACACCTGGGGAACAAAAACATGTTTTCTATCGTCTTTCTCCTGAGTCAACCCCCTCGTCGTTTCTCAAAAGGTCCAGCAGACGTCACAAATTAGAGAAAATTCAATAAGAGGAGTAGATTTAAGCCACTGTCCTTGGAAGTCCTTAGGGTTATTGATCCCTCAACCCCCTGCCACCACCTTTCTGCTTGACCACCTTTTGTTTTACCTAAATTAAACCCATCGGTTTGCTTCACCTGCAGCAAATCGGGCCTCCTTGATTTCATCTGTCATTTGGGAGTAAAACTGCTCATCCTCCTGCAGCTCCGTCCCCATGGCCCCCCATCCGCCGCCTCCTTTGCTCCAGCCTCCGCTCCACCCGGCCCTGTTTCCTCCACCCTCGTCGCCGCATCCACCCCAACCTTTCCACTCGATCAGGTGAGCGACTCGTCCTTGGGCCATCGCTGTGGGCTTGGTGATGTGCTCCTTTATCGTGGCCACCAGGCCTAAACAAAGAGAGGAAGAGAAGAAGAAATGTGTCTTCATAACATTTATTGGATAAAAGGATAGGCCGGCCAAGAAGAGGAGCAAAGTGGATAATTTGATGAGGGAGGTAAAGCAGAATGGGAAGACTTTCTGCTGCAGTTGGGTTATGACAATTTAGAGGGGGAAAAAATGATGGCATAGCATGATAAATATTAAGACTGGTGAAGAAAAACAAAACTTGAATGCAACATTATTTACAGAACACCATCATCCAATTTTGCAGCAGTCTCCTGTTGAATGGACTGAACTTATACCACTCAAAGCGTTTTACACTGGAGTCACTGCATGTCGGTGTGTGCATGTCACACACCGACATGCAGATCAGTAGGGGTTAAGTTAAGTGCCTTGCCCAGAGGCACGTGGCAGGAGGAAGCTGGAATCAAAACTACAACCTTCCGATCGCAAGACGACTACCTATACACCCACAGTTGCCCGTTACAGAAAGGATATGTATACATTCATCTCTGTGCAACAACATGCAATTTCTGTCTTATCTCATACATCATTTGTGGATGTAGGTTGGTGTGATTGTGGGTTCATCCTGCAGACATGTCATGTTAGTGGAGTTCAAGCTCAACTCGTTCGCAGATTTTAATTTTATCCATGTCAAACTAACAGGGCACAAACGTCTTAGACCAAATAGATACAAATGTTTGTCTAGACCTCTACCATTTGAGCATATTTTTTTAGCAAACAGGTCAAATCTAACCTGCATGGAAACATAACAGAATATTTCTAAGGTTTATTTAACAGAACAAAATATTAATCACTGTAAGCACATAATTAGTATGTACACCAGTATGTATGTTTGTTTCTGACCAACTCTGTAGCAGCGTCTCTTACTGGTTATAATACGCTGCCAAACATGGCCGTCAGTCAGTCAACTGGGCAGTATGGACTTAAAGCTTTGTTGTGATATTTTCTGATACTATTGTGATGTTGATAAAAGTGACAATAATAACTATTTATTACTTATGTTTTTAGGTAACTGTGTTGCTGTGACCCCAGCAACCAAAAGCCCCACAAACACAAATACTGTCAGGACAAAACAGATCTCATCTGTGTCACTAAGCTGCACACAGGAACTGCATTTAGTCATATTTCCAAATTCATTGGTATTTATTGGTGCTCTTAACGAACAAACAGTAGAGAAAATAGTAAAAGTAACAATCCCGACAACACAGACATTTTCTTTTAAATCATTAATTCAAATTTATTGTGACAACAATAATTCAAAATTCTCATCATGAAAAGAAATTGGTAATGAGATTTAGTAAACGATACAATAAATGTCCACCTCAACATGGTGTTGTGAACTGAATAAAAAAAATGGTGGAGACTACGACCATCCAACGGCCAGTCAGTTACCATGGATACGCTAAACGCAGGCTAGCTGAGAGATATTGTTACTAGCAAATTATGTCACTCGTTCACATCATTTCTTTTCTCTGCATAGAGGAAATAAATGTCATGGAATATTTCCAAGAAGAATCACCGTTACAAGATTAACAAACAAATACAACAGAATCGTCGTCATTTGCTCTTTTTTTTTTTTCAATTAAACGCAAAACATCCGAGGGGAATCATCTGCCTCAGCTTTGCATTCCAGCTGTGAGTCTCTCTGTGTTCCTGCAGCCCAAACATTAATGTGTTAATCATGACCTGCTGAAATCACTGGACAAAACAACAAGAAGCCATCCTTTTATGTAATCACATTAGACAAGGGTAGGAAGGTCTCAGGGAAATGAAGAGCGGGAGTGAACGTGACAGTGTGCCTCGCTCATATTTCAGAGGAGAAAATTAAAGCCATATCAGAGGGGAAACATTGCAAAGGTTGAAAAGACAAAAGGTCAAATAAAGAGACAGAACAGATGATGTTAAAAAAAGAATCGATGGGGAAACGGGAGGAAAAATGTCAGCAGTGTAATGACAGGAAATAGACAACATAAAAAAAAAGGGGGGGG